TTCTAGTGTAACCAATGGGGGGAGCCTGAGGTCTTGACGTATCAACATCTGATACTGCTAAGGAATGGTCCTGGACTCAGGCTGTCCTTCCTATAGAGTCCACACAAAAACTGGTTCCAGAACTAGAATCTCAGGAAACTGAAATGTTTATATGGGAATAACCAAGCATGGAGGGTGAAGGGTATAGGCAGTATAACCCTTAAGCTTACTAATGGAAAAACTGAAAGTGACTAATGTTAGGTATATCCCTGAATTAAAAGGAATCTATTTCTTTAGGAACTCTTGATGAGGTTGGGTGTTCATGAGGCTAATAATGGTTGTTATATGTGTACAAAAAACAGAACTGGTTCTCAAAGGGGAAAAGAGGAATGGTCTTTACATTTTATGTTGTGATTCTGACCTTGAATGCTTTAGCACAGTTCTGTCACCCACCAGACTTACTATAACGAAAAAGGCACCTTAGGCTAGGACACATGAGTCAAAAGGGCATGCACATCCTTAGTAATCAGGGAGGTTTTGGAAAGGACACCATCAGTAACCTGGAATTCTGTGAAACTGTGTGTTAGGAAAAAAACACTAGACTTGTTTTCAAAAGGAACTCACCAGCCAAGAACTGCTTAGAGTACTTACACTCTGACCTCTGGGACTGAAAATTAAATCCCATGGTGGGAAAATCTATTTCTATCTATTGTAGATGACCACAGTAGAAAGGTCTGGACCTTCCTCCTAAAGACAAAGAAGCGCTTTAACCAGTTTAGGGATTGGAAAACAATGGTAGAAAACCAATCAGGAAAGAAAGTTAAGACTCTTGCGACAGACAATGGTCTGGAATTCTGCAACTCTGAATTTGACAACTTTTGTAAAGAACAGGTATTTGAGACATAGAACGTAGCTAGAACACCCCAACAGAATGGTGTGGCAGAAAGGCATGAACCGTACCTTACTAGAAAAGGTTAGGTGTCTCTTGTTTACTTAGGGTTACCAAACACTTTTGGGGGAGGAAGCAACCACAGCCTATCTTGTGAATAGGAGTCCTTCTACTGCTATTAATGGAAAGTGTCCCGAAGAAATCTGGTCTGGTAGAAGACCAGACTTAGCCAGAGGATTTTGGGTGTTCTGCCTATGCAACACCTGTAGAGGAAAACTTGAACCTAAGTCTACCAAGTGCATATTTCTAGGTTCCAAGAAGGCACAAAGGGTATAGATTATGAGGATAGGGAGACTCCAGGGGTAAATTATTGTAAGCAGAGATGTTGTGTTTAATGAATGTGAATCCCTTGCAAAGGATCTGCCACTGATCAAGGAAGCATTAAAAACACTTATCTTGACCCAACCCAACTGGAAGTACATCAATTGAGGTGGAGCAACTACACATCAGCCCACTAACCCAACAACTGAACTGAAACCCAAACAGAATCTGAAACTGAACTTCAACAACCAGAAGACACCATGGAGAGACATTTGAACACCAACCTACTAACCTCCAACAGTACCAACTGGCCAGGGACAGAGCAGAAGAGAGGTAAGGCCACCAGCTCGGTATTCTTATGCAGAATGTTTTTCTGCTTTGCTTGCAGTACAGAGGTCCAGAGAACAGAACCAGAGCTTATGATGAAGCTTTGAAATCCAAGGATAAAGAAAAAATGGGAAGTAGCAATGAGGGCAGAGATGCACTCTCTAGAGGTAAACAGAACCGGACTTGGTACTCAAACCCAAAGATCAGAAGCTGATCAATGTAAGTGGCTCTATAAAAAGGATGGTGTTTCAATTTCTGACCCACCTAGGTATAGCAACAAGCTAGTGCCAAGGCTACCCAAAGAGGGAATAGACTTTAATGAAGTCTTTCCCCAGTAGTGAAATATAAAACCATCAGATAATGTAGCTATTGTGCTCACCATAATCTAGAATTAGAACAACTAGATGTGACTACTGCTTTTTTGCATGAAATTTGGATGAGAAAATTTATGAGCCAGCCTATAGGATTCATTAATGTTAGGGCCCTTGATAGTATGCTTTCTCCACAAGTCCCTATATGGCCTTAAACAGGCCCCCAGGCCTGGTACAAAAGGTTTGACACCTATAACAGGCCTGGGATTTAGGAGAAGCAAGTATGACAGTTGTTCTCACTTTGACCTTGATAAAAATCTGCCCATTTATCTTTTGCGTGTATGTTGATGATATGCTGTTAATCAGTAGATCCAAGCCTAGGATACAAGACCTGAAAAAGAAATTAAATTTAGAATTTGACATGAAAGATTTGGGAAATGCTAAAAATATTAGGGATGGTAATATCCGAGAAGGAGGAGGACATTGCTTAAAACTAGGACAGAGTGCGTATTTGCAGAAAGTAATAAACAAATTTGGTATGAATGACTCAAAACCTGTCACAATGCCCTTGGCAAATCATTTCATACTTAGCAAAGAACGTGTCCTAATTGAAGCTGAGTTGATAAAATGAATGATATCCCCTACTCAAATGTGATTGGCTCCTTAATGTATGCGATGTAAGCACTAGACCTGACTGTATTTGCTTTCACTTCTAGTAAATTCATGTCTAACCCTGGCAGTGAGCTTGGACTGCCTTAAATGGGTTCAAGATACATTAACAGTTCTCGAATGGTTTAAAGTATAGTAAGAACAATACTGTGCTTGATCTTGTTGGGTTTGTAGATTCAGATTTTGCAGGTGATAAAGACACCAGAAAATCCACAACTGCTTACTGCTTTACACTAGGAGGAAACTGCATAGCTGGAAATCTCAGTTGCAGCATATAGTTGCACTTTCATCAATGAGGCAGAGTACATAGCCATTGCTGATGTGATTAAGGAGGCGTGGTGGTTACAGGGTTACTGACAGAAGCAAATTTACTGAAGGGAAGGTACAATTTACTCAGATAGCCAGAGTGCTATACACTGAGGTAAGAACCCAGTTTATCACACGAGAGGACCAAACATGTTGACGTAAGATTTCACTTTGTAAGAGATGTGGTAGCCCAAGGATTAATTGAGCTGAAGAAAGTCCACTGAAGAAAATCCGCTGATATGGGGACAAGATCATCACACCAGCAAAATTCAAGCACTGCTTGAAGTTGCTATCTATGGAGTAATTCAATACCAACTAAGCATGAGAGATATGGTTAGAGCCTACTGCACTACTGAAGTTTAAGTCTTCAAGTCTTCAAGGTGGAGATTGTTGGAGTGAAGACGGAAAACGCGCAGTTTCACAGTTAAATGAAACGCAGAGTTTTGGCCTGAGTCATGGTGCATCCTGTCCATCCAATCTACAGAAATCCAACGGCTGAGGCTTTTCACAGAGTCAACAGTATAAAAGAAGAAATGGTCACTAACATTGAATCTGAATTTTTGCGTTTTTGCAGTTTGCGTTATCACTTCTTCTTGGTTTCTCTGCATTTTAGAATCTTTGTAACTAGGTAGATTGATTAGTGATTGATAGTTAATCTGAGGGTAGTTACCTTGTTGGCCGAAAAATCATGGGGCAAATGTTTAAAAGGCCGTACTGGCCTTGAATTTAACTAAATGGTCATATGGTTTTTTTAGTTTTTACTAAATGGTCTTATTAATAAGTTTTTTTAGTTTTTACTAAATGATCTTATTTTTTATTAAGACAAATTAATAATAATTAAAAATTAATCATGACTTAATTAGGATTAATGAAGTATTGTGTAATCTTTTAAAAATTATAACATGTCTCCGAAAACCTAAAATTCTTGAAAACAAACCCAAACATAACATCTTCTTCTTCTTCCTCCCACCATTAACGAATCCCTACCCTGGTTACTGTTTATTCTAAGTTTCGTCTACATCTTCTTCTTCCGCTGCATCTTCTTCTTCCTAATCAAATGGGTAGTATGAAAAGTGACTATCAAAGAGTCATTGCAAAATTGTGTGATCAAATTCGACAAATTCACTATACTAATCAAATAGATATTACTGTCTTCCTCAATTATCTAAATGAGCAACAAATCGTGTATGTTTTAATTATTGAAGAAGAAATCATTACTAAAATTAGACAAGAAGAGGAATGAGAAAATCCTGAGGATGATAGTACGGAAATACCAAAAATTTTGTGCCAAGAAGCTCTAAACATGCTTAAGAGCTATAAATATTTTGGTTTCAATAAGAAGGTGTTCATATTGGTGACGTATTACGTACCCGCAAGATAAAAGATGTGGTAACAACTTTAAAATATAAATCATTATCCCAAACAGTTTTAGATAAATAATTTATTTCATCTTAAACCTTGAATGTAATATAGCATATGTTTTTTGCAATATACATATAATTATTACTATATAGAGGCAAGTTCCTTAAGACGGGACCTAGAAAAATTACAACTTATTACAATTTGAAATTTATTCTTATTTATAACTGATCCAAGTTGGGACCAAATTTTTTTATGACTACATGGAAGTTATTCCTATATAGAGTATTATTATAAAGATGTTCTACTGTATTATCCAAAACCCTAAAACAAACGCACCCTAAATTTATTATTTCATATAAATAATAATTCAACATTTTAATGGCCTAAATTCAAAAAAGTGATTTAAATCCATAAACTCAAGATATATATATTTTGAGCAACATTTTTTCATACACCTGATGTAACAGTTCGTAACTGATTAGTTTGTAGTGGATTTCGTCTGTCCAAATGCAAATTGACCAATCATAAGCTCCCATCTGAATGTTATATAAAAAAGTTGTATGAAAAAGTTGTAATTGTAATTTTATTGATACATTTTTTTTTTTAAAAGCCTAAATAATAGTATTTTTTTACAAACTCATAGGGACAAATGGGTCATTTTATTAACCCATAACAACTTGATGGCATACTAATTATTTAATGTAAATGATTTGGGTATTTACATAATTGACTGATATTAATGAAAACCTATAATATCAAACTTTCAAGGCATTTCAATCCTGTGGAGCATGATGTGGGTAATGGGTCCAATAATCCTTATCCACATCAAGGTGGTGTGGAGGCTAGTGAGGAGGATAAAAACCCAGGTGAGAATCAAGGTTTGAGCATGTCAGCTTACTTACTTCTCGTGTTGAAGCAATGGATAAGGAATATCCCTGCCATTAATCATTATAGTGCTAAGTTGGGGGATCTAGCTTCTCCTGGAGGGAGCTCTATAAGTCGCCTATCTGCTCACTACACTGAAGCTTTGGCTCTTCGGGTTGCCAGGGCTTTGGCCTCATACTTTTCATACTACTCCTCCTCGAGATCCTGATCGGCTGGAAGATGATTCGGGTACTGCATTGAGGCTTTTGAACCAGGTGACTCCAATTCCAAAGTTCATTTATTTCACATCAAATGAGATATTGTTAAGAGCCTTTGAAGGGGAAGACAGGGTTCATATTATTGATTTTTACATCAAGCAATTTGTTTCAGAGTTTAGTAATTATGGGAGAGCAAGAAGCCCAGAACAACTCCCCCATCTTGGAGATAAGAGTTTCCAATCCGTGGAAGTACTACTCTGCCATATTTGATCCAACTGATTCTTCCCTCCCATTAGACAGCCCAGTTAGGATGAAGATAGAGGAAAATATTGTTGCTTGTGAAGGAAGTGACCGATATGAAAGGCACGATGAGTGTTTTGATAACTGAAGGAGGATGATGGAGCAAGGAGGGTTTCAATGCATGGGGATTAGCCGCTTCAGAGACAAATGCTGTTGAAGATGTACTCTTGTGAGCATTATGGTGTTAAGAAGCAAGGGCAGGATGGAGCGGCACTTACTCTAAGCTGGATGGATCAGCCTCTTTACACAGTCTCAGCCTGGGCGCCTGTTGATTTTGCCGGCAGTTCCTCTACTTTTTCTCCGCCAAGTTGATTGCTGTGGTTTTCATTTTTTTCATATATAAATCAGTAGCATACAGAGAAAGGGACACAAAACTCTTTGTAGGTAGAGAATTCTGTCATTATAATCGTTCTTTCATTCTTTTGTTGCAGATAAGATTTTTCAACTCCAATAGTGCAAGAATAATTTGTATGAATACTGTAGCTTCGTACTGATTTCAGATCTTCGCAATCGCAGGCCAGATTTCTAGATTTCAGTTTGTATTATTTGGTGTCAATTTGTGTTTATTCTTTATGTAAGATGATATTCTTTCTAGTGTTGTCAATCCAGTTCTCTTTTTTTTCATTCATCGCTATTAGAAATACGAACAATGTGTTGGAAATTTTATTTTTTATAAATGAAATGATATAATTGATTTATGTATCTAAGCCAGGCATTGGATCTTGTTTTCTCTTTTATACTTAACCTGGCTCAGATCTCATCTGAGAGGAAACAAGAGTTCCGCATAAACGAGGGTCTAGTCCAAAACTATATATGCGTCTAATAGTAGCGAGTTAGCCAAATTTTAAAGAATATAGTGACAAAACAAGATAAGTGAACAATAATCTATTTTACAATGAGAGCAATAATCTATTCTACTGTCTGTTTTATGCCAATCTTGCGTGATAAAATAAAGCAGGCAGGAAGTAAACACAATTACAATCCATCAATTACAGATACACAGAACAGCAGTGGCACTGGCACAGATTATGCTGTTCAATCAGCACAGCAAACGATCATTATATTACAAAATGACAAAGAAAATAAATGATAAGAGAACCCTCTCGATCACGCTAGCAAACTTCAAGCTTATATTTTAGCTTTAGGAATGAGAAGTAGAGGTTGCTCCTTGCATAAAGTCAGATCAACCTTCTCGGTCATGTCCAGGTCTTTTGGATCCCTACCATAAGGAAGAGACCAATCAAAGAAATGGATCAGGGAAGCAAGAATCAATGGAACATGCTTTGTAGCCATGGGCATACCAGGGCATATTCTCCTTCCAGAGCCAAAAGGTATGAATTCAAAATCATTCCCTTTGAAATCCAAATTTGAGTCCAAGAATCTCTCTGGTTTATAGACCAAAGGATCTTCCCAAATTTTAGGATCTTGTCCGATGGCCCAAATATTTATCAACACTTGACAGTTCTTTGGTATGGTATATGTCATCACTTCACATGACTCCACAGCGCGGTGAGGAAGGAGTAACGGTCCAGGTGGGTGCAACCTTAGAGTTTCTTTGACACAGGCTTGAAGGAATGTTAGCTTTGGTACATGTGATTCCTTTATTAAGTCTTGGCCAATTTCTTTCTTCAGTTCTTCCTCAACTTTCTTCATGCATTTCGGATGCTTTAGAAGTTCTGCTAGAGTCCACTCTACAGTTGAACTACTAGTATCTGTGCCAGCAGATAACAGCTCCTGCGAAAACATTTTTTCATAAAATTTGTATCTCAAGCTAATAGCCTCAACAAATTTAAGAGCAATGTTACTTGGAAAAATAATAGAATATTCTTTCAGAAATGAATAAATGAAGCTTTCTTAGTTCATATTCATGTATAACATATGTATGTACAGAAAAAGAGAGAGAGATCAAACCAGAAGCAGGATATTGATTTGAAGATCTGAAGAACCGTTTTTGATGAGGGCGTCCAGAAAATCTTGTTGGCTTGAAGCATCACCTGACATAACCTCTCTCCTTTCTTTTATGATAGGCTCCCATATTTCACTAGCCTTATCAAAAAAATCATTAGACTTCTTTCGTAATCTTTGGAGATCCAGTCCAGCAAGAATTGGATAAAAATCAGAAATATTTGGTGTTGCAGCTACTTCCATGATATTCCTCATTAGTCCACTGATCCCTCCTTTTAAACTCTCATGCTCTAAGCTTATGAGATCCCTTGAAACCAATATGTTACTCAACATGTTAAACAAAGTAGCAAATACTACCTGTCTTATTTTCACCACATCCCCTTGCATTTTACTGATAAATCCGACCATGTCAACCACCTTTTTCTCTCTTATAAAGGCTTGAGACTCTATTGCTTTACTTGAGAAAAGCGTGGTTCGGTAAAGAGTACGTAAAAGCTTCCAACTATTGTTGCACTCAAGATTCCATCCAAGAGATAAATTGTTGTGTTCCAAACTCTTGGCTGGTGCCACATGAGGAACATATCTACCTGATAAAATGCGGTCATGGGTTTTCAGGATTTGAATTGCAGCCTCTTGTGATGATCCTACTACCACAAGTTGGTTTCCAAGTCTTAGTGAGAAGAGTGGCCCGTAGGTTTGTGCTAGTTTAGTTAGTGTGATATGAGGCTTATCTCCCACTTGGAGAAGGTCGCCTAAAATTGGCCATGAATATGGTCCTGGTGGAAGTGGTGGTTGTTTAGCCTGTGACCGAGTTTTGAAAGACTTGAGAATGAACAAGAAAAGAGGAATTAGAAGGAGAATGGTAAAGAAAACATCAGTTTTAATAACAATGTGATCCATGAAAGTATGTCTTGAAGTTGGTGTGTTAATGAATGACCTATCATTTAAATAGGTGGATGCAGGAATATTGGCTTGTCATCAGAGTCAATTCTCTAATCCAACACTGGACCCACTCAATAATGCAACAATCAAGTGAAGTAACCCCACCTCCAGCATTATTGGCATAGATTTTGGATGACTCTCCTTTGTTTATATGCCCTGTAAGATAAAGAAATTAGAAAGGGTTAAACCCTGTTCTTTAAACTATTATTTCCCTGGAGTCTTTTTGGCATTTGATAAAACTAACCCTTCAATAACAAATCCGGGAAAGGTAGTAGCTGCTTTGCTTTATTGAAGCAAGAGTATCAATAGAAAATCTCGATAGTGGGTGCACTTAACCCTTACCCATATATATATATATATATATATATATATATATAAACAAAGTGGTCCCTTTTGTATTTGTTGTGATATTCATCTTGTACGAAAAGAAACCATTTGACGCTGATCTGTTAGATGAAACTTGCAAGAAAACATCAAACTTTACAATCTCTGCGAGAGTAGTTTAAGATGAAATCCTTTTAGTTCCAACCAAGACCATTAATAATATGAAAGAGGTTGCTATGATGAGAAACTAGCACACTAGGGTCTGGCAAATTACCTGGGGGGCTTCCACCAGCTATGAAGAATTGTATGAGATGTGAACCGAGTAAGCCGATGTAGAAGAGCTATTCAAAGGAAAGTATACGAGGAGTAAAATCAAGATATATAATTTATGGTTGAGCTTTACACGGTACCGGAGTTTGCTTCATAATGGTTTATAATGTTGTATTTTTATAGTCTAAACCTTGGATGCCAGTTAATTAATCTCTATGGTGAATTCTTCTCCTTTTCAAGCATATCCAAAATCAATGGAAGTGCTATCATGCTCACAAGAACTTAAATTCTCCATTCATAATGCTATTAGATCCACACAGAAGGGCAATGAAGTGGATGTATTCAACAGTTAACTGCATATATATCAAAACAAAAATGCTATCCTTACAAAACAATACAAAGAGAGCTACAAAGTGACATCAGCAATAAGAAAAAAATAAAGAAAAAACGGAAAAAGAAGGAGAGAGAGAGAGAGAAAAAAATCATGAAGATGAAGGGTGAAAATTGTCTTTATATGCCCTCTTTGTTTTTGTCTTTGTAAGACTAGTACTGTCCATATCAAAATCCATGAAATGGATGAAAGAAAGTTGTGCAACTGTTGATGGACAAATATTATTAACAAGTTATAATAATTTGGTAGATATAGCTAAAAAATTCAAAAATGTGATTGAAGTGAAAGGAGTTGCGATCATCAGAGCGTCGCGGAGCAACTGTGAAAGTGTGAAGTGAAGTTAAGAAAGGGTGAAAGAGTTGGGGATTGAAAATTGAAATTTTAGGGATTTAGAACTTTGTAATTGAACCGGTTCAACGGATGAGTCAGCAAACCGTCGATTCAATCTTGAGTTGCCAACTGTCCACTCAATTCATCCCAAGTCAATTTAGTTCAAAAGAAAAAACGAGTTTCAGGGTATTATTGAACCGGTTATGTCTGATTCCTAGTTGACCAGTCAGACCGACTGGTTCAATCCGATTTTCAGAATACTGATTAATACTTATATCTATATTGCTTATAACATGATATATCCTATTGGAAAACTTCTTCTTCCATTAATCTATCTTTCAGTTCTAAAAAGTACTTCTACTTTGTTGTTCTATAAATTGAACAAACAAATAAAAATTAGGGTGTAGAACATAAAAGTGGAGTGTTAAAAGTATTTGAAAAGAAAAAAGAATTAAAAGGTAAGTTTAATATTTAATATAAGATAAATTTATGATTACAAAAAAAATGAGTTTTCTCTCAACCCCTGAGGTTTAATCAAATAACAAAAGTTCAACTTAGACTTCAAAACAAGATAATTTTTGTTATTTGATTATAGTTGAGGGAGATTTTTTGTGATAAACTACCCCAAAGCAAAATCATTAAAAATTAAGAATTATTAGTCTATGAGGAAACTGCTCATCCTTGCAAATGCCTTTACCAGCCTAGCTTCTGCAGCCGCACGTCTCAGTGTTTGGATATTAAATAACTTGTTTTCACTTTAGAATTAGGAAATAGAATCCAACTGAAACTTATAATCCTTACCCGTATGGGAATGGGATTGTATTTTTACATATAAGTATGTGGACGTCTAGTTTCCTGGCTTATCTTTGCAATTACTCCTCTACTGTCTTTGTATCTGAACTTGACAATAATGACGCCCAATTGGGCAGAACTTATGAGGATCTTTTGGTTGAAATTGTTCGGCGAATAAGATTGCGGGAGGATTTTGTTTCTTTTCGTTGTGTTTGTAGATCATGGAAATCAGTTGCAGTGGAAGAAAATTTCCGGTACAAGTCCATTCAGCTTCCATGGCTTTTGCTTCCACCACAAAAGTGCAGCCATGTACGTGATTTCTATCTTATCTCCAATAAAGGTATTTATCGTAAAGTTATACTCCCAGAATCCATCGCTAGAAATTGTTATTCTTCAAAGGGTTGGCTTATTACAATTGCTCCAGATTTGAGCATGAGTCTTGTACATCCTTTTTTCCATGTTGAAAATAATTCCCTTAAACCCCATCTTCAAATTAAACCTCCCCATATCAAGACCATTAAAAATTGGGTTAAGCTTAAAACTCTTAAAATATATGTTTATTTCATTTGGAAATTCATATTATCATCGAGTCCTTTATCGACTTCAGATTATACATTGATGATTATTTATGGAGGAACTGGGAAGTTGGCATATTTTAGACCAGGCGATAAGGCTTGGAACATATTAGACCTTGAGTACGGCTATTTTTGGGATGTTGTGTATTACCATGGACGGTTTTATGCTATAAATTCTCTCAGTGAACTCAAGACTTATCATATTAGTAGTGGCAAAGACAATACCAGCACCAAGGTAGAAAAAGTTTCACAGTTGCCACTTCCAGGGTGGTTGTTGGATAAAGCTTATATTGTGGAATCAGGAGGTGCTTGTACGAGAAGGGTGGCTGGATCGGAGAACGTTTGGGTTCACAGTTTTTGAGTTTGACATTTCCACAAACACATGGACAGAAGTGAAGAATTTGGGGAATAGAGCTCTATTTTTAGGCCATAGTTCTTCATTATCAATTGAAGCATCCGAAGCGACTGGATGCAAACCTAATTGCATATACTTCACTGATGACTGCGTGGAAAAATATGTGGAAGAGCGAAATGGAGGAGGGAAAGATATGGGAATTTATAATATGGAAGATGGGAGTGTCACGCCATTTTTCATAGGTAATTCCTTCAACCGTATTACTCCACCAATGTGGGTTGAGTTGAGCAGAGTTTCTAGCTTTTTTTTTTTTTTTTTGGATTTCTGAAATAAGTTCTTTACCATTTATGATAGTCGTTTATGTTACAATGTTGAGTATTGACATAAATATACAAGATATTGATTCGGATTCATGTGAGTTGAGCAAAGTTGCTGCAGATCTTTTAGGCCTTCGTTTATATTCATGAGTTTATTTATTTATTTATAATTCTTTTGAGTTTTAATTATGACAGAAAAGCATTTTGTTTATATACTTATAATCTATAATTGAAATCCTAATATTCAATCTGAAAATTCATCACATTATACCTAGGGTCACTAGATTGGGAAAAATACTCGCAATTCATAACATTTTAATCAACATCAGACAGATTATTTGCCATGTTCTGCAAGAAAAACTGTATGCAATCGTTTGCATAAAAGATAAAAAGAACATCAACCGTGCTCCTAATCATATTCACTTCCTGCTTTCAGAGTTTCAGTTGTCTTCCTTATTAAGAAGCGTCCACGCATAGCAATGATAAGGCAAATCGAGTACCAGCTTGTCAGCAAGTAGTCCTTTATCTAGCCATTCCCTTATACTAACATTTGTATTGAGCCATATAAAGCGCCTGTAAAATTATCTCTTGAAGGCAAATACAGTAATAATTTGCTAAAATATGCACCCAATCCGAGTTCCTCTGCATTGAATCTACAGGGTAAATCATTGAGTCGTGCAGGCGAATAATGACAGCTCATTACCAATATCAGCTGTGACTTGCCAGAGTTTCTTGACTTCGAAGTTACTGCAGCGCACCATTCGTCTAAAAGGGTTCCTAAATTGGTCATTGTAATGAGTTGAGATTAAAGGAAGAGAAGAGGATACTCATAATCTTGGATGATGTTTGGCCAAATCTTGACTTGACAACAATAGGAATTCCTTTTGGGGTTGCAAAATCTTTCTAACCACAAGTTTGTCTTGTAATGAGTTGTCAATGTCAAATTCCACTAAATAATCTCAATGAAAAAGAAGGGTTGAGTTTACTTAAAGGTTATGCAGGTATGAGTCTCCCACCTTGAATGATACGGCAAGTTAAAGTTGTTGGAGAATGCAAGGGTTTGCCTTTGGCAATTGTATCAACTGGGTGTGCTTTAAGAGAAAAAGCCATCGGTGAATGGAAAGAAGCGCTTTGAACTTTAAAAATGTCAAAACTTATGTTATAGAGAATATTGTGGATAAAGATGTTTATGCTTGTCTTCAATTGAGTTATGATTATTTGAAGAGCGAGCAGATCAAGTCTTATTTCTTATTGTGTTGGCTGTTTCCTGAAGTCGATGAAATTGATTTAGAGGAATTGGTAAGATATGAAATGGGGTTAGGTTTGAATCAAGGGGTTGATAACCTCAAAGCTTCTTGTTTGTTATTAGATGCTGGTGAAGAAGATTTTATTAAAATGCATGATGTGGTTCATGATTTTGCGCTCTGGATGGCATCCAAGCAGAACCACGCATTCTTGGTTAAAGCGAGTGGCCAAAAGCAGAGAGCCAGGAACAATACATGGCAATCAATTTGGTAGAAATGAGAGGGCGTAGAATACTTGCTGATGGTTTGATATACCCAAATCTCAAAATTTTGCTGTTGGAATATTATTATTTAACAGATCCATTTTTATGAAGAGATGAAAGCACTGAAAGTTGTTACTCTTTTAACTTATGGGCAGTTGTCAATGAAATCAATTCAATTCCCGACTGCATCTGAGATATCTTCCCTTGGAAAGCTGAAAAGGCTTGAGATTCTTAGTTTAGAAGGTTCTGTATTTGATGAATTACCAGATGAACTATGGCAACTCAGTTAAGATTGTTGGATTTGTTTTACTCTTCTACTTTGAAAAGGCATATCAACAGTACACCCATCATCAGTTTTTAAAAAACACTCTCAAAACATTGAATACATTGAGCATCTTATAAAATAAGAGGAATAAAGAATGTTTATCTACAGATGCAGAGCCCATAAATATTGATGACAGGAATAAAGATGGATCATCTCCCATAGAGCCTCCAAAATTTCTAGAATACACCTTTATCATGAAGTAATGCTCGAGCAAAAGCCAAAGGAAGAAGAAGATCATTAAACAAGAACATTAGAAGATCAACCATTATATATATAATATATGGTGCTTCATAATTTATTTTCATAATCGATCTATCATCATCTCTCTTAACATACTTCAACTACTTTCACACTAGCTAGCTATAGCCACAACATAAGGCTTATAAAAGCTAGCACAACACAAAATATTATTAAGCTACACACATATATATGAAGCTTCAAGCCATTGAACTATGGGTGATGATGTGGGTGCGGTTTGTGTGGGTCGTGGGGGCCTGGTCCTGGTGGAGGCGGTCCATGGGGCCCTGGTGGAGGAGGGCCTGGCTGATGAGGAGGCGGTGGTCCGGGCGGTGGTGCTTGCGGAGGCGGCGGTCCATGGGGTCCTGGAGGAGGTGGACCGTGTGGTGGATCATGGGGTGGAGGATGATGCATCTTTTCTCTTAACTTGTTTTCTAACTGGTTGATTTGTGGCGAAATGTTGATAGAGAGTTGATATAAAACAAGAATAAGGTTTCAGATTTATAACATAATGTCTCTACATTCAACAACCAGTCACACATCGTTTCAACTACAATTCAATCGTAAAAAATTAAATTCTAGGGGGGATTTTTCCTGTACTGATCATGCTGTGGCTGTTGCTAATTGGACCGGCTGATAAGAAATGAAGGTTCTGGTAAAAGATAAGTTAAAAAACATTATCTTCAACACTATCTCTTTCAGAAGGGTCTCGATCTCGGGTCATCTATCTTCAATTCTTGGCTCTATTGACAAATGGCAACATGATATTATGCACATATCACTAGTCTGTTCTTTTCCAACGTAAAAATCGTGTCATAATAATGTCAATTTGCATTGCCGACACTATGCAAAAAAACGTTCTTCATTAATGTTCATGTGCAAGTTTTTTGTCTATGGTATACATGTGCATGTGGAATGGTTAATTGGGTTCTTTTGTAAGTTTTGTGATTTTTGGCACTCAAAATTAGGCCACGGAAGGATCATATTTACATGATATATTACATTAGATTTAATTAATTGTACATCTACCTATAGCTAATTGATGATCAATCCATCCTCACTGATTTTCATCTAAACAATCTCTTGTTGTTGTATCGCCACTAAATCTGTAGACGCCAGAAAAACTCCAACCAAACCCATCTCCTTAATCCCCCTTTTCTCCACTAATCCTACCAACACATGTGAATTAATATCATGTCTTCTTCCTACCAATATAGGTAGAATGTCTCCAAAAACCCTACGATCAAATAAGAGAGCGACTATACAGGGAGTCATTTTGAGGATATTGTTCACCACTCTCTTCATTAAGAGGGGTGATATTGTTTTCTTGAATGGGATGATCATTAATCACTACAAGAAAAAATGTTTTCAGTGACAGAAAATTTGACAAAATTTATTGACTGTTCTAAAAAAGGGTCAAAAAAAATTAATCCTTAAAAATAAGTTCTTGATAGTTAATAGTTGTCAAGGATTTTGTAAAAAATAAATTGTACAAATTTTTTTTCTTAGCTATTATAGTCTTCATCTTTGACAATTGTTGACCGTGAAGGATTAAGTTAAAAAAAAAAAAAAAAAAAAAATTGCACTAGGGAAAAGTTTCCCACCTCAAAATTTTCAAATTTTCATTTAAGGCAAATTCCCCCACCCTTTTTCCGTTAAGTCAGAGCTGGTGTAGGGTTATAAAATATTAAAATAACCCATTTCTTCCGCCCAAAAACTCAGAAAATTTTCCCTCTCTTCCGCCTAAAATCTCTCTTTCTTGCTCTTCCACTTATCAAAATCCCACTCAACAATTGATCTTTTATTAAACGCACGCTTGATTGATCCAGTCACGTGATCGAAATAATAGCCAGATGAAGAAACCTTACGCTGGTTGTGAACTTGATCTTGAGTATCGACATCCACGGAGTCGTTTTCTTGTCCTTCATTGACGTTTTTGAGTTCATCGATCTTGTCCTCGATGGAGGAACTGAAGCCCTCGGAATCGGAGGCATCATCATTTAGCAGAGGCTTGGGGCGGTCAAGGAGGTGTTGCGGTTGAGAGAGATGCGTGTGGAGGGGAGAAACTGAGAGAAGGAGGAGGAGCGCGGCGATAACGGCGCACACGTGTGACGGGGCCGGCGATGAGATCTGAGACTTCGTAGCATTTCCGCCGTTAAAGATACCGGAAGATGGTGACAGTGACGGAAATGATTGATGGTGTTATTTTGCTAAGAGAGAAGGTGAGCTGAGATTTGGAGCTCGTTGTTTATCTTGTGTAATGGCAGTTTGTGCCTGCTGCTTCGTGAAGCCTAAACAAGAAGTAGTTGCTAAATCTGCTGCTCAAATAGTTCATGAACAGCATGGAAAGTGAGTATTTTTCCTTTTTTTTTTTTAATGTAACCCAAATGTTGTGTATTTTGTTGGGTTTTGGCTAAGTAATTAAATGTTGATGTTTTATTTGCTAAATCTCAGTATGGCTCCTGCCGCCCGAATGGCTATGACTAGAAGAGTTCATCCTCTTGTTTCCTTGAATCCCTACCAAGGCAATTGGACAATAAAAGTTCGTGTTACAAGCAAAGGGAACATGCTTACTTACAAGAATGCAAGAGGAGAAGGGTGTGTCTTCAATGTGGAGTTAACAGATCAAGATGTAAGTCAAAAAGTTAATATGCGTAAACAATTTTTCCTTTAGGGTCATGTGTATGTGAAATTATAATAATGTTAGGGGTGTTTCTCGTAGGCAGGAGATGTATGGGTTGCCTATTTGTAGTCGTAATATGAGGATTGGTGGGGCTGATGGGTTTGGTGATTGTGTTGGGATGGTTAATAGTTGCTGGGAGTTACCAAATATTGTGTTAGCTGGTGCAATTGCAGTCAGAATCTGTATATATAAAGGGCAGTATAGTGGTCTGCTAAACTACTTGATACTTTTTCCTTTTGTTTTCTAGATGGTTATTTTGGTGATTATGCAGATCTGAAATTTACTGGGGTTTTGTTGCACTGGTTAGAATGGACAGCAGTTGTATATGGCTGTTTATATTTTGATTTTTGCTGTCATTGTATAGGGCTGGGAGCGCAACAGAATGGATCATTGCTTATATGCTTTTCCCCTGCTTTTGCTTGTGATAATAGCGCTAAAATCTTATACAGCAGGAATTTGTTTTTTGTCTTGGGATTGCTGGGTTTTATAGACTATTTTTGTAGTGCTGAGTTTAGGGGGCAGCATGTTTTTTGCTGGTTTTGTGGATACTGCTGTCCGTGTAAAGGGTCTGCTTTTTTTTTTTTTTTTTAAGCAATCTAGAGTGCTTTTTGCTCTGTTGTAGATTGCTTTGCTGCTGGGCAACAGGTTTGGATGTCTTTCTTTGTGAACCTTTTTTGGTTGTTCCGTAGCTCTTTGGCTTGTCAAGGGGTTGGCGATAGGTTGTATTTTGTTATTCTTTAATTAAATTATTATCTTTTAACATGTTAGTGATGAATGGCTAACAAACGAAATCTTGACCGTGTGAAAACTGTCAACAATTTGGCTAACATTCTAAAAAAATTGAAATTTCGTCTAAATTCTTAACAGTTATTGAAATGTCAAGGATTTGGTACAAATTCTACTAAATCTTTTATAGTTATTGAACTGTTAAGAGGTCTTTGATAGTTTGAAAACTGTCATGACCCTTTCTTGATACTTCAAAAATTGTCATTGTACCTACTTCTTGACGGGGAATCCCCTTCAAGAAAGGCTTTTTTCCTTATAGTGAATGAAGTATTCTTCCGAAAAGCCATCGAACAAATGTCGTCGTGCATTGAAGCGTAAGAAGAAATGGCTGTGTAGAACTGCACTGACATGAACCCTCTATTTTGTCTTTGGCAATTGTAGAAAGAACTGATGATGGGATCGATTTTGTTTGGTTCATCATTCGAAGTTGGTAGCTTGGAGACATCATGATTTGGGATGATTAGAGGCATGGAGAGTCCAATATATTCCTCCAGATTCATAACACAGATTCATAACACAGATGCCTACATGATTTCTTGGGGGATTGGAGGCTTGAAGAATGTTGAGAATTGTTGGGACATTATGAAGCTCATGAATGCATACAAGAAGGCGAAGCTCGGATTAGCGTACATAATTTTGGATGGTCAGGTTTCTTTAGGCTGCATATCTTCTTAAAGAATCACTACTAACTCTTACTAATGGAACCACAATGGTGGACTGCAACATTGCTGTTAGCACCATGATTCCATAGCACTCTGCTGTAATTGACTGCACAAGAAATTAAGAAGATTTGATTCATAAGCTCACAAGAGGAATCATGATCCTCTCCTAACATGAGTTTTAAAGGTAGAAAAATGCGTTTTGATTGTACTTGAAAGATTTGAAACTAATTGGGTTCTTCTGTAAGCATTAAAAATAAGGTTGATGGTTTTGCAAGCCATTGAAGAAACTTGGCTTCTGGTAATTAATACTTCTGGTTGCCATAAAAGCAAGCAAGCTATCAACTTGATTCCTTGTACAAGACAAATGTTAGCAAAATTTGAAGCAAATTTCAGTATATGCCAATGCCAATTCTAATGAAAGCTACTTTCCTCCTACCAATTCTAAGGTAAGAAGTGTGCACAAAAAAATGAATTTTTTTATATGCTAATCAAGCTTTCAATAGGAAGGAAATTTAACTTATAAAATTTTTGGTCAACTGCTTATAAACTATGCATTTGTGTCAGACAAAATTAAAGGATGCATATCTTTACTGAATGTATAGCCAATCAACTATAAAAAATCCCAGAATTATCACATTTTTGTGAGATTACTGCTACATATAATTACCACCACCAATTAAGAGAAGTGAGCAGGAAAACTTAAAATTGTCATACTTGGAAGCATTTTTGGTCAATATATTGTCATACAACTACCGAGGTGAATTGGATGAAACCCTCGAGATGGAAAGTGACACTGACATTCTTGTTTAATAACCACTAGTGGCGGATCTAAGAATTTCACTCTATGGGGGCAAAAAATAAATTAAAACCAATCATAATCATACTTTTTTTTTTTCATTACGATGAGCTTCAACAAAAAGTTACAAAATACAAACAAATATCTTCAAAAAACACAATTTTTATAAAAATAAAACAATTTTTTTGCTTCAGGGAGCTAACATACATAATCCTTAAAACGAGTAGGTAAACGTCTTACTCGTTGTGGCCGCATAGGAATAGAAGGAGGAGATTGCTCCTCGGTCAGTGATAGAGGCGACTCGATTGGCTTGGGTGGAACATGATCAATATGAGATGTCAAGTTGACTTGATTGATCAGATAATTCCTTTGTGGGATAAAAAGAGTGGAGGTGATTTGATTGTGAATGTGAATCATGGATTGGTAAAGGGATGATTGGATTTGGAGTATTAATGTTGTTAGGAAATGCAAAAGGGAATTGATCTTCATAAAAAAATACATCTCGTGAAGCAAAAACCTTGTGTGACTCCATATCGTAAACCCAATAACTTTTTTGACCTATTGGATAACCTATAAAAACACATGACCTTGAACGGGATGAAAATTTATCTTTCAATCTATTTTGATCATGAACATAACAAAGATACCCAAAATCTCGTAAATGTGAGTAGGATGGAAGTTTAGAAAACAACATTTCATAAGGACTCTTGCCTGATAATTGTGGTGTAGGAGTATAATTAATAAGATAAGCGGCTATTAACACACATTCACCCCAAAATTTAATGGGTAGACTAGCTTGAAATCGTAAGGCATGAGCTACTTCTAAAAGGTGACAATGCTAGCATTCTACAACCCCATTTTGTTGGAGTGTATTAACACATGATGTCTCGTGGAAAATTCCATTAAGTTGAAAAATGTTGACATGGGACCAACTGTAAATTCTAAAGCATTATCACTTCTAACTTTTCTGATTTTGCTGTCAAATGAGTTGAAATCATGGCATGAAACATTTAGAAGCATTTGATTTATTTTTCAACAAGAAAACCGATTTACATCTAGTGTAGTCATCAACAATTGTAAGAAAATAATATGCACCAAAAAAAGATTGAGTTCTATAAGGTCCCCAAATATCACAATGTGCTAAATCAAAAGGTGATTGACTCTTACTAAAACTTAAAAGGAAAAACATTTCAAGTTTGTTTAGCACGATAACAAACATCACAACACTTATTTGAATCCTTAAAAGACAAATAATAAAATTGAGTGATTAAAGACAAACAATTAAAGGAAGGGTAGCCTAAACGTTTGTGCCATAGATCTAGCGAGGAAGAACAAGAAGTAGCGGCAATAAAAGGTATGCGAAGCCCACTGAAGTAGTATAAGCCATCACGCAATTCACCCATTCCAATCAGTCTTTTCGAGGTAAGGTCCTGCAACACGCAAAATGTAGGAAAGAAAGTCATTGAGCAATTAAGATCTCTTGTCAATTTACTTATGGAAATAAGATTGCACTTGAAAGAGAGTACATGGAGAACACTGTTTAAATTGATAACATCATTTTACCATGAGAATGTACAAGCAAGGTTGACCCATTGGATAATCTAACAGGTAAGGAATAATCTGAAGATGTTATATCAAAAAGAGAGGATTTATTGGAAGAGAAATGTTCTGAAGCACCAGAATCTAGAAGCCAATCAAAAAGTTTTATAAGGGTTTGAGATGTCTTACCAACATAATTTACTATGTTACGATTTCCATCAAAAGACAATAAGGACATGAGTTGACCATACTATTCTTGTGTTAAGAGTAAAGCCCCCATTCGAAGGCTGTTCAGGACCCAAAATGATGTTGGTAGAGGCTGAATCTGTCCCCCCTCCGGTGAATTTCTTTTTTGCTTTTCCATCTTGGTGGGTATCCAACAACTTTAAAACATGTATCCTTTGTATGACACATGAAACCACAGTGTTCACACCTATTATTGATAGCCCCTCGTGATTGCTCTTTCCAGATATCAGCCTTGGGATGGCTTGTGTGTTTAGCGGCAAAAGCGATTGCCTACACTATTTGTGTTCGAGTTGCAACAAGACTTTGCTGCTTCTCCTCCTTTGTCACAAGCGCATAGGCTTTGTTGAGTGCAGAGAAAGGCTCCATGTTTAATGTTTGGGAGCGAATGACTCCATATTGGTCATTTAGACCCATAAGGAATTGATGAGTCTTCTCTTTTTCCTTCTATGATAAAATCCCCCTTTCAGCCCCACAAGTGCAAGACGGAACCTTAGAATAAGTAGCCAACTCATCCCAAAATCCCTTTAATTTCATGTAGTAAACTGCCATAGAGAGGTTCTATTGTTGTGCAAGACATATTTCTCGCTTCAATTCGTGTGTAAGCAGGACATGTCCTTAATAGAAATGTTCTTGCAAATCAATCCACATCTCATAAGCCGTAATTACATATGCAACACTATTATGTAATTCTAGAATTTAGCATTAAAGATCCAAGAGATTACCATAGAATTGCATTTTTCCTAGGTTTGTATATCATGTTCTTCTATTTTTTACTTCAGTAGAGTCCATCAATGAAGTAGAGCTTGTTCTTGGCTTGAAGAGCATTCATCATAGCGCATCTCCATGTGGGGTAGGGTGGATCCAATCCCTCTGAAAGTAGGCCTACCCTCAGATATAAAAAAATTTAATATATATAGACCTAAAAAAAATGTTATTAATATATATATATATAAGGTCTACCATCAGATTTTAAAAAGATGAGAACTATTATTGATATATCTAGGCCCACAAAAAACTTACCATTAATATATATATTTTAAGCCTACATCATATTAAAAATTTAAAACTCTCTCCACTCTTTTTCTTCGTGACTTTACTTGTTTTTTATAGTTTTATCTCCAAACTTCTTTACTCTCTCATTCTCTCTTTCTCTTTCTCATGCTATTCACTCT